TGAACAATACAAAAATACACGATAAAAATGTACATGTGTAAAAATGTATATTCTGATATAAGCTTACCTTTAAACCAAGAAGTTTTATGTTTAAATTGGAATTTGTACTTGTTGGAACAGGACTTAGATCACACCGAAGTCGTCTGTGTGATTTTTCAACTACCGGGGGATCTTCGTCTGCATTCAATTGACTTCCAATCGAGAAAGCATGCGATTGCGTTAATATAATATCGTCTATATTGTGCTTATAGTTGCTGTTCACTGAACTCACTGTCTTGCTGTCATTGTAGCATCTCGGCATTGCACATAACCAACTTTACTTAAGATTCTATTTCACAAAATAACTTTCCCTTTTCCCTTACGCTTCTATATTCAGTTTCGCTCCGATGTAAAATTAATAAGACTCATATTTTCATCGCCCCTCCTGAAGATAATCGAATTAAAACTTTCCCAACCGTGACTATATGTCTCTTAACGAGCAGTCTTTGTGATAAGATTTAAAATATCCGTATCTGTAACATTTTGGACTTAGGCTATATATTCTGCCATACAAACTGCTGAACTAGCTAGAAAGTTTCTAGTGCCCAAGGAACTGAAAGAATCTGAAATCAGAGAACAATTTCAGTAATTATTGCATGGGAATTCCATTATAAAATATTTTCTTTGCCCTGACAATATAATACTTGTAAAAAAATTGTTTAATAGAAAAGTCATATTTTATAAAGAATGTGGAGAAATAAAGAAAAAAAGTGACTAAAAATAATACAACAAATATATAAAACATAATTTTAACTTTTTATAAAAATTTTTGGAATATAGCCTATTCCTTGAAAAAATTAAGAAATTTAAGAAAAGTATATATTAATGTCACAAAGTTAGCTTTGATACATTTGTTGTATTCCAATAAAGTGATTTACATTATAATCATAGAAATCAATTAATGTGATAAATAAATAAATTTAATTTGATTAACTCGTTAACAAACAGCTACGTAAATAAATAACTATATACAATATTTAATTTCAAACATCAACAAGTACCATTGTTCTAATTGCAGAAATTTCTCTATACTAATTTGTTTTACAATTCTTGACGCATACTTACAAAAGATATGAAAAAAAAAAAAAACAATCGACAAAAATCGATACAAGTGCTGCAGTTTAGGAAATGTTTTTAATTATATACCTCTACCTTGTATTAAGATATTTGTCATTAACTGTTTTTTATGAAAATTTATTATGAAAATGAGTCGTTTGGCAAAATAAAATCAAGTGTGACGGAGATACGTGCGTGTGATAGACGCACAGACTCTAAAGAGAATATTACTCGCAAATCAATTTGCTATTAAACTATAATCAACGCGTCAATGAAGGAAACAGTTGAGACGTAGGAACATTTGGTGTTTTGATCATCACGCGCGAGTGTATCGCAAACAAAGAGGAGACACGTTCGTACTTGTTAAAGTCGCAAAATGTTGTCAAGCGCACCGTGGGATGCTCCGCTTGAAAAATATGACAATATATTGGGTGTCTCACATACACACGCGCGCGCACGGACATGCGTAAGTTTTTCACCGACACAGTGGAACGGTGTTGCGCGCGCGTGCACGACTCGTTGACACGAGTAAAGGAAGCCGCGTTATACGCGGACAGCGGTCGAGGGAGATCTCGCGCGCAAGCACTCACTCGCTCACTCGCTCGCTCACTCACTCACGCACGTACGCACGCACGTAGGTACATACGCACACACGGAGGAGGCGTTCGCAAATCAAACGACGCATACCCATCCGTTGCACACGGATAAGTGCGTGCGAGCGCGCGCGCGCAGCGGCGTTAAGCTGGCGTTAAACTGGCAGGCACCGCACACTGCCGCACACGCGAGACGAGAGACAGAGAAGATAATGTGACATCTATCCCAACCCAAAAATATCGCTCGTCGGGAGACGTTTCGCGCGTATCGCAAGCGCAACGTCCCGTCGGGCCGTCGGGCGGACGAGGTGGCGCCGAGGCCGCGGCGCCCCGCGGCACGTCATGCGGCGCTCCGTTATTTTTGACTGATAAAATATCTCGCCGAAGTGTCCGCGCGATGTACATGCATGGAGGAGATGAGAGAGAGAGAGAGAGAGAGATGCACGAACCAACCAGTACCTACTTCGGTCTCGGGCTTTCATGCGAGGGAGAATCAGTGTCCGTCCGCTCTCTCGTATTTTCGTTACCTCCGACACGGATCCAGTCATACTAGCCTCGCGGTTGCGTCAACGAACAACGGCACTCGTTAAATCCTTTAGCCAGCCGGTACTCACATTTGTCTCGCAGAAAATTCGCCCCGACTACACCCAAATAACTACCATTTTTTTTTTCCACCACTGAACGCTACGCACTCTCACGGTGCTATGCGCAAAGCGACAGTACTTATGCACTAATCGACGTAGCTCGGACCGCTCGGGCGTCTGACAGAGACGGCAGACGGCTGCGGTGGAGTGGCGGCGGAGTGTGGCGGCTGGCCGCTGGCTGTCCCGCTGTGTGGCTGCGGCTCAGTGGCTGACGGCGGAGTGCGGCCAAGTGCGGCGGAGTAGCCCGAGAACGTGTCGTCGAGTCTCGTGCGCACGATGCTAGGTGGTGCCGTTGCACGGACGATCTCGTCCATGATTCATCGAATATATAGACGGAACGTATACTGTCAATTACGGCAATGAAGATGTTGAGCGGTATTCATAGTTTAATCGTAAGTACAGTTTAAAGATGTCACAAGCCAATCAAAGGGGCGTATTAGCCTCTCGAGACGTTACTCGAGACGGTCTTAAAATAAGAACGGCCTACGAATACTATTTTTTATAACCTCTACTCATTTTTTAATGCCAAGCTTTTTTCGAACACACTGAAAACGAAAATGACCAATGGCGTGAGCCGGACCCTCGCGCGACAGCGGACAGCGCGCGCTTGGAAATCCACCTGTCTATCTATGCAGAACCGCAATGGCGATATCGCGCGATTCCGTTTGATCGTCTCGCGATATCTCAGAATTGTTCGTGACTTCGTGCCCGTTGACGATAGTCTGCGATAGTCTGTGCGTTGGTCTCCGGACATGCGGATACGTTCGTTTGTTCTCGCCGTTTGCTCTGCTGTTATGTAGATGCCACCATGAGAACGATCCGTGTTAGCTGAAAGTAATCTCGGAGTTACGACGGCTGACAAACGGTGCGAGGACGGTATCGCGGAAAAATGACATCTTTCGTGCCGTCGAGAGTCTAGGAATTCATGAAATTGAAGAAGCGAAAGAGTCTGTGCGCGCAGTGCGTGAATATGCCCGCCAAGGTCTCTAAGAAGGTCGTGGGCATGATCATACGAAGCCGAAAGTCCATTATGAAGGATGGAGTCATCACGGTACCAATGATTTTCGTTAAATCTCACTCATTGACACCACTCGCCATCATTATCTCCGACTCCCCTCTCTCTCTCTTTCCTGTGGCGGTGAGCCGTTGCCGTTGCCGTTGCTACCAAGGGTACCCTCTCACTCCTGCTCACGGCCTCGCGCCTCACCCCGACATTCGTAGCATACCTGTCTGTTTGCCTACACCGCTTTTATCTCGAGTTCCCATTTTATCTTCACGTAATGTCGCATGATTGGTACTAACGAGAAGCTCTATTCGTGACGCTATACATGGGACGCTTGTATCTTGTCTCTTGTATATCTCGGGGAAACAGCCGAAAATATACTCACGATTCTACGTTACAAACAATTCCTGCAATAAAATGGAAGTGTTTATATTCATAGGCTCTTAATTCTTGACACACTTTATATTTGCATACGTTTAAATTATTTTTTGAACAGCGTGATAAATGCGTGTATACATCTGTGTGTATTCAGTATTTTCCAACGCGTTTGAGTATTATCAAAAATTGTCCATCTCTATTATTCCCATACGTTTCATTTTGCACTGTATTCTTTTCTGTCTTGTGCAAGATTAAATGGAGCATAATTATAAAAAAGTACTAATTATTGCAACTTATTTACATAACCTATGTGGTGTTATCAGCTGATTAGACCATTTTATTTTATAAACACGTTTGTTTGCAAATTACAAAGGACATCCGATACATGGAAGGAAAAATTTAACTGACGGAGGAAAGATAATCTGTCGTATTTCAACTGTGATTTAAAATTTAATTTATAATTTTTAAGGCTGTGGTCAAAGTCTCCCTACAAATGCTTTGAAATTTTACAAACTGACCAATTAAAAAACGCTTCAAAGCGTTTGCAATATTGCGTTGACTGTACCCTAAATACATACGTCTTAATAGAAGGGGAGAAATTTTGTTCTTGCGATCAATATTGCTATAAGCAATTTATTTATTATGCCGCGTTTTATAAGCAATATTCAACTTAACCCTCTATCATCGCTTAAACCTCTATTTAATGTAAATTAAATTAATAGCGTCTTTCTCTCCCTCCGTTGTTTAGCCCAATGGAAAAAGGCAATTGATGAATTTTTTCCTAATAACCGCGTTGTAACTATTGAATTGATTTTGCCCGAAGGTTATTATATATTTTGACTAAAAAGAAATCAGGAGTTAAAAATGGATATTATTCCACGATACGACATTGTTTTTATCGTATATGCAACGTCACACACACACACACACACACACACACACATATATATATACAGTGTATATATATATACACATGTATGTATATGTATATTATTTTTTACGTGCGTGTGTGCGCGTCACTACATGTACATATAGCGCATAAACAGGCAAGTGTCGCGCGCATCGATCAATTATTCGACAATGCGTTCCCATATACGCTAACAATTGACCGTAATGGACCACGCGGATTGATGTTACCGCAGCGTATGCGAAATCTTTGTTCCGCGATGCGGAAAGCTTCCAGCTAAAAGAAGCAGCGAGCCTGGAATCGAGCGAATCGCCAGCTGTTGAGGCCGTTGTTAGGTTAGGAGGAGTCCGGAGTTAGCTCGAAGAGATTATACGGTTGAATCGTCAAGCGGTGACGTTGGGGAGGGGATGAGGAACCAGTTGGAGGAGCAGTTGCGATGCGGAGGTTTGATTCCCCGCGTGAACCGTCCCGCGCGACGTGAATGGACCGCGCGAGGGATTGACGGCGCGTCGAAGGGTCTCGGCTGGAAATATGTGATCGTCCGAGATCTCGCTGTAGCAGCCGTCGTTACGCGAACGACCGACGTGGTTTCCAAGAATAGAGATACGAGACAGAGGGTGAACAAGGAGAGGGGGGGGTGAGAGAGAGGGAAAGAAAGGGAGGAAAGAGACTCCGTCCGCGGCGCAAAGCCGCTCCGGTCGCACGAGAAGACTCCCCGGACCGCCCGGACGTCGATCGTCGCGCGTTGCCGACCTGCAGGGAGACCTGCGTGGAGTGCCGAGTGCCCCGTCGCCGACCTAGCGTCCCCGCGGATCTCTGTGACGTCACGCGCGTCGCGATCAGATCAAGGCCGCGCGCGCGAGCGGTCGACCCCCCGAGCTCGGGGAAGCGAGCGTCCCGACGATATCGTTCACCTCGTGCTCTCCTCCCATTTATCATGAGGGAGAATTTCTGTTTCACGCAAAGAGAGATAGAAAAGGAAACGACATTTAGCAATGCGTGAAAAATACCAATCGGCTTTTCCAAGCTTTACGTCGGGGCTGTAACTCCTTTACTTTACTCTTCGGATCTCGTAACTTGCCAAGAAATCTAATAACGCCACTGATCTGGCACTGTACGCGAGACAGCGTTACAGGACTAATTATGTCGTATGACTCGATAATCATGGAATTATTTTTAAGAAATATATAAATAACATACGCGCACATTGAGAGTGAATGGATTTTAAGAGGATGCCGTGGAAGATTGCGCTAGCTTGAGTCTTGCACTGCCATAATAAAGTTCAAAACGTTGACAACCGATTGTCAGAAAGATTGATTATGTCACGTTCTCGTAAATATAATTGCAAACGAGGAAGCGCAGAGTGACAGCAGAGTGACTTATTGTATCTCACGATTGAATAATATTTCTTACTTAAACCACAACAAAGCAGAGTGTACATAAGGAGGCGTGTAAATAATATTTGCAAAAATAATAATAATAAAGTAAATAGATGTAAAAGAGGACAGTTTTATCGAAGCGATATAAATCGTTAATCAAAGTTTTGTATTAACAGACATTATCGATAATAGACATGAGAAATAAATATATAGTGAAGACAGATATACCGCTTCGTTGTAACAATCTCGTTTGTAATGCAAATGTAACGTCGGCAAATCAAACGGTCATCACAATATGACTGAAGAGACTATTTATAAAATAATTAGAATAAGATGTAGTAGAATGCATACACAATACATGCATTTCAGTCATGGTGCGATATCTTATCTATTTTAGATGTTACGTTAAAAAAGCTATGAAAAAGCATGCGGACTTGACGATCCAAGCAAACGAGCTACAAATAATATTGAGTCACAAATTAAAATTTAATACAGAATTGTGGAAACAGTGCGCTATTATGACATTAAGAGAAGATTGTCTATCTTTTTATCGTATACTTGTAAGCGGAATGACGACAAAAGTATCGATTAAAACGTGAGAATATGAGAGGAAATATATATAGCGACATTTTTTAGGGGTCATGCCCCCTGGGGCAAGCAGTGGAACAGAGGGCTTGGGCCCGACCTGTTCTGAAATACATAACAATCAAGATCATGCCACAGCCAAACTCACACCTCCCCCTACATTCGTTCAACAATGCTACAGACACCTCAAGGTCAGCTGCTAAAATATCATAAGTCTGTCACTTGTGGTACATGCAGAAGACTACCTCTAGTTATCGAAATTTATTTTATTTTCTATGCTGCGTCTTGTACACTTTTACATTTAAAAATTATTCTGTAATTTACTCATATTAAAGATTATCTTGTAATATGTTGTTATGTTATTTTTCAGAGTTCTGGTGTTGGCGAAGCGAGCGTCTATCATGCATTGGTTGTAATATTTCTGGAATTCTTCGCATGGGGACTATTAACCATGCCTATTATTAGGGTACTGAACGAAACATTTCCGGATCACACGTTCCTGATGAATGGCTTGATAATAGGAATCAAAGGAATCTTGTCTTTTCTTTCTGCGCCACTGATTGGTGCTCTCTCTGACGTATGGGGTCGAAAATTTTTTTTACTTATCACAGTGGCCTTTACATGCGCACCAATTCCCCTAATGAGCATTAATACATGGTGGTTTTTTGCCATGATTTCTATCAGTGGCGTATTCGCTTGCACATTCTCAGTGGTGTTTGCATACGTTGCGGATGTAACGGAAGAAAATCAAAGATCACTAGCATATGGTTTGGTACGTGTATATCATTTTTGTGATTAGAATGACAATATTTGCATTTTGACGATCAAAGTTTTATTTTATAAGTAATAATAAAAGTAATAAAGATAATAACTGGTTATCTAACTTATAAAATAAATTTAATTTTACTTATTCCTCAGGTATCAGCAACTTTTGCAGCAAGTATGGTAATAAGTCCAGCTCTGGGTGCTTATATTATGAAAACTTATGGAGAAAATCTTGCCGTAGCATTAGCAACAGCTATCGCAGTCTTGGATGTGTTTTTCATATTAGTGGCTGTACCTGAAAGTTTGCCTGAAAAGACACGTCCACCAGCACCTATATCATGGGAGCAAGCTGATCCATTTGCTGCTCTTGGAAAGGTAAAAGTACACGTACATATATGTATAGAGTATAAAAAAGAAATCTATAAATATACAGCTATTTTAAATTTACTTTGCAGGTTGGAAAAGACCATACTATTTTAATGCTGTGTGTTACTGTGTTCCTGAGTTACCTCCCTGAAGCAGGACAATATAGTTGTATATTCGTTTACTTAAAATTGGCTATGGGTTTCTCTAATCTCATGGTAGCAATATTTATCGCCGTGGTGGGCATCCTGAGTGTGGGAGCGCAGATTGTATTAGGACCCTTAATGAGAACACTCGGCAGCAAACATACTATAATGCTCGGTCTGTTATTTGAAATGTTACAGCTTATGTGGTATGGATTCGGCTCACAAACATGGTAAATCACTTCTTCATTTGCATCACAGCAATGTCACTCTATTAATTATGCATTAAAATTTCAATAATAATTAAAATTAAATGAGACGATGAGAATAACCAGAGAATGCCAAGTCTTATCAAGCGTCAATTATTTCAAGGATGATGTGGGCTGCTGGAGTACTTGCTTCTGTATCAAGCATTACGTACCCTGCGATTTCCGCATTCGTATCCATGCATTCTGATGCTGATAAACAAGGATTAGTGCAAGGTATGGTAACTGGGATGCGTGGTCTCTGCAATGGACTTGGACCTGCTATGTTCGGTGTCATATTCTACCTTTTTCATGTTGATCTTAACGACGACACGCCCAATCTCCCTTTAAAACCGTCGTTTGTAGACGAAAACAACAGAACGGGAACTAGTACACATCTTGACATAATGCCTCAGGTACATACATTATATCTGCAGGTAAGCATAGTTTATTTTTGTTAGCCTATCTGTTCAGTAAGTTTTATATATGCAGCATTAAAATTTATTAAAAAGTAATAGCTTTAATATTAAAAAAAAAAAGAATCGATATGTTTATATGTATGTATAAATACATAGACAAAGTATTTTGTTATATATGTTGATTTTAAATAAAAATTTAAATGTTCGTTAAATTGTATTTCCAGCTTGTACCAGGGCCACCGTTCGTATTTGGTGCGTTACTTGTGATCTGCGCGCTACTAGTAGCCGCATTTATTCCCGAATCAAATACTATGTCAACAGGATCGTTGCATCACCCATCCACTTCCCGGAGGCCCTCCGGTAAATACGCATATCAGAAATGTACGTTACAGGTTGTCAAATATGCTAAAATGCCAAATATGTTTATGGTGATGGGATTCATCGAAAATTGTTTTAATTCTAATCTCTCTATCGACTTGTTGAATAAACAATATGAGCATAATGAGATTTGTGCCAAAAAAATTTTACTTACGAAAGTCGTGAGATACATGCAGCAAATTTTACAAATACCATGTTTTACTTATAACAATGTAAGACTCAAAGTGCTTATTATTTTAGGTTTGTCCTTGGACGTTCAATATGAAGCAGACCGAGTAGGAAGTGGAAGAGGAAAGATCGGTCCGCTATCACCACTAGTCGACAATTGTAACTCCGCCGCGCTATAATGTCTATTGAAAAATGTAAGACAAACCATATAGTACACGACGAGAATACTTTAGCCAAGCGGTAAAGTTTCACCCTTAATCAGAGGTGAAGAGATCGTTACTATGAAATACACCTGATTCGATCAGGCGACTGTAATAGAGTTGTCTATATTGTATTATACTATTTGTTTAAGACAGTAACTAAGCTTGATTTTAGGACTTATCGATGGAACTTAATGTTTAGGTTGTGACAAACAATTTGTACAAGCAGTGCTTGTGCGATAATACCGTGGGTTGATCTCAGAGTCGAGTATAATCATACTACAAGCGTGTTGTGTTGCGAAAAACGTAACATTAAATTAGATCTTCCTTTTCAAGATTCTTGCGCCGACTATTCAATCAGATGTAACAATTTTATGCGAAGTAAAATCAATGACTCTTTACGCAGCTCGCCAACGGCACAAAACGATACATCAATGAAAACTGAAAACTTGTATTTTACTAGAGTTATCATCTTATGAATATTTGATCCTTTACTTTGATGTCGTATCCTTTTCTTTTGTTACTAATTTATATTACCACATTTTATATCAAGTGCTAATGTAAATTGCGCAACATATTTTTGCATCTCCGTACATTCGTAGCACTAGAAATAGCTTTTACACATTCCTTGTAAGCATAATTTTTGTATACAAAAGCATCATTAATTGACAATTGAAAAGGATGCAAATTCTTTAAATCGTATTTTCCTTTTGTACAGGTATGATATAGTAATTACTTATCATTCTTGTATGTCATATAATTTATCTAATATTTATAGATCATGCGACTTGTTTCTTTTTGCACAAAAACTATTTATTTTAATTCATAGAAACTATAAATATAACGAGAAAGGCCTCAATGCTAAGAACAAGTTATACAAAGTGATAGTTTGTCATTTAAAGATAATGGTAGACATTAACACTATGAGTAAAATGAAATATTAAATTATTAATTGAGAATCAATAGTTCTCTTAAATTATGTGTGTTATAATCGGAATCACATTGATGTTAAAACGAGAAAAAACCGTTTTATGATAGAATAGAATCTTGTATATATATATTTTACTTCTATTTTACAAAAATATCAAAACTTTTAGGAAAAATATGTTTTAATGCAGTAGCATTCATTTATATACATATAAAATTTTGATTGTTTAAATAATACGATTTATCTTTAATTTGTGTTATTATTAGTATGTTTATGTAAAATATCAATAGCGTGTTTACACAAAAAATACAATCATTTTAAACTAACTTGTAGGAAACAAGTATTTTTTTTTTTTAGTTATTGTACCGAATTGGATCTTAAAGTCATTATGCTCTTAAACTCGATTAGTCTCGATGAAAGCCAAAGAGTAATTAATGACAAATGCAAAATAGTCGAAAAATAATAACAATAATGTGCAACGCGTCCTTACCACAAATTAATTTCATAAATTTTGATATTTGCACACATTTGTGATTATCTTTCGGAAAAAAAATTCGAAGCTGCATCAATTGTTTGATGGATATTTATTGGATGATATTAATACTGAATCGTTTTATAAATAAAAGTAATAAATATGTATTTTATACATATTTAATATTAACTCCTTTTTTATATAAGGCTGTTTAAAACAAAACAAGATATTAAAGGTTTCAGTCGATATGGCTTTGTCGAATATATTAAAATTACGTGCGTTTTCTAGAACATAGCTGTATTACAGTAAAGTATTACAGAACGAAGTAGAAATCGTGAGCAGGTGTATACAGTGCAATTACGGTTCTATAGTTTCTGTTTGTATTTCCTTAGAGTTACTTACGAACTCGCTCTCGTACACTGAAGTAAATATATGCAATTGTATTATAAATATACAAAACAAGCAGGAAGATTATAATATTAAGAATAAAACATAGAATAAGTCTTGACTCTATTACGAGTTAAGTAATTGTATATGTATAATGTACGATGAATGCATTAATAAAAAGTAATTATTTTTAAGATAAATAAAAGTATCACTTGTGCAAATTTCACATTTATACAATATAAAACTTTAAACAACTACATATATATACTCTGTTGAAATGTTAAACTAAAAAATATTTGAGACGTTCCATATTCAAATTATGAGTTAATCGTGAATTTGACAAATGATTTAATGAAAAATTTTTTATTAAAATCACATTATTTTATATGCAACAACAAGTAATTATTTAAACATTTCATATTTGTATATTAAAAATGTGACAAGCACCTTCTATACAATAAATTGGCATACCATTTTATGATCAGATTAATCTTTTTCTGCCTTCATAACATCTTTAATATCTTTATATTTATTGTACTTATTTCGTTGCAATTATTCCATAACATCTAGGAGAAAGTGTTGGATCAAACAAACGTATTACAGCAACCTTGGAACACTTGATATCATTTTGTAAAAATATTATTCTATCCAACATGATTGCCGCTTCCACTACCGAGCTCATATATATTCTCAACATTTGAAACAGACGCAACCTTGATTCAAAGTGTATGTGATTCTGATATATTTCTTGCAATACATATGCGGGTGGTATCTAAAATCATATTTTGTAAAATTTCTGTCGATATATCAGAACAAATGAAGAAATAACACATACCTGCTTCTTATTTACTCCGATTTTGGATAGCGCACACTTTGCGTAGTCCGCGAAATTATTCAGTGGTCCACCACGTCCTACTTTAGCATTGTAATATCCTATTAACAATATTATATAAATAGCAATCGATATGTTGATACAGAATTAATGAATATCAAGATTTTCGGTCATTGAAGGAAAACTTATGCCTAATTTGTACATTATATATATACATTTGCTTGATACTTTAAAGCGATGATTACTATTCAATCTTGAAACATAGTTTTATGATTAAGCCAAAATGAGATATCAGGGATATAATATCGCGTTATTAAATTAAAACATAAGAGAGCTTATGCAATGATCGAAAATATCAATTATATTTATATTTCACTATATCTATACTGACCCATTGAATGTAGAATAACTTGCAGCACAGCTCTATAAAATAACGAAGGAGAAAGATGTTTATTATATCTACTTCTTTCGATAGACTGTTGAGCCAACATTCTGGCATTTTTGCTGAAATTCCAGCGTCCGCTCAATGCTTCATTCGCTAAATGATAACAGCATGGAACAACAAGAAGTAAATTAATGTCCTTCGCATATAAGAAAGCTTTAATTACAGAATGCACAAGCATTCCACAAGTGTGCAATCCTGTCAAAATGAGATTTTCGTTTACGCTCCAATCAGGGTAACACGTATTCACCACTTTGTTGTAATTAGTCGTGTCGTCTAACTCTTGAACTATATATCGAATCTAAAAGGAATATGACAATTTTTATAACGTTATGATAAATAATAATATAATATAGTCAAATTTTTTTCACAAACCTTCGTTAGCGTTCGTTTCCTTTTCTGAATCTTTTCCTGACGATTTATTGCACCCTTGTGACAAACTTGCGACGAATCAATTGCTAATACAGGAATATTAAAATGTTCTGATAAATATGTCGACAAATACGCCTTCCCAGCTCCGGCGTCTATCACTAAACTGCGGGTGGAAAGTGCTATCTCGGCAATAACTTTTCCAAGCACTTCTATTTCATGCGACTTCTTTGTATTCATGAGCTCAAACTTTGGATAAACAAATTTATTTTCAATCATACGTTCCGTGGAAAACTGCGGTAATAGCTTTGGTAAATCATCCACGCATATAACAGCTGGACATGACTCTAAAGAAAGTGATTTTGTTAATTGTATAAAATTACTCAATTCTGAATCTGTATTGTTTTCTTCCCAGATATCTCCGCTCATATCAATATTTTCAAGTTCTGATCTTAATTTCTCTGGCAAGCACTTGTCCCATAATCCCTCAGTAATAAAATCAACTAAATGGCAATCTATCAATTCTTGATAGATATTAATGAAATCCAATGCTTTCTCAAAGTGCTGGTTATATTCTGTCATCATTGTCGCATTAAAATTCGAGTATATCTGTCTCTGGATATACCGGACTAATTTTTGCTAGTGAACAAAATTTGGCATATTTGAACTTAATATCTTCCACAGCTTGCAGAATGTTCAGATTGTCATCCTGGTGATTGGGAAGAGTGCTGCGAATATCTTCCAAGAGCTTCTTGGCTATCGTCGTCGCTTTCTCACATTTAGCGATATCATTATTTTGTAAATAGTGTTCCAATACTCCGCTGTAATATCCTAATTGTGCAGCAATTATGCTTGCTCTGTGGTATCCGAGGTGGTATCCCTTTAGCAGCTGTTCCCTGCCGCTCTCGTAGCCTTTCTCGTAGCCTGATTTTTGTGCGATTTCTTCCGCGAACAATAAATCTTCAAAGACTTTATTTACATCCAGATCCTTTTTTTCATGGGACATAATTATATTAACTAAAAAAAGACAATCATAGATTATACGCGTCATTATATCTCTCTCATCACACAAGGAAATATCTCTTTATTAGTTCACTCTACTTACTCCACTTGATTTAACTAATTATTATAACACTTATTCTATTTACTTTTTAGCTAATTGTTATAACACCAAAAAATTAATAAAAGAAAACTATTGTAAGAAAAAAAAGCAGCTTCTTAATCAAATTACTATGTACAAAAAGGATATTAATAAGTGACAAAGTAAATCGTGATGCTTATTAAGTAAATCAATGTCTATAGAACTATGGATACGGATGTATATAGCAGTATAGAACTGTAATGCAGTGACCGCAGTGACACACGGGTGTGTCGACATTGTCGACGATGGATGGCTAATTATATGTGTGTGTAGTGTATAAGAAAAAAACCTGAATCTCCTCAATCGCAGCAAACGCAACATGAAGTAAATTCAAACTTTTTTCGTGATAAAACTAACAAAACTTACACGAGCACGCAGTAATCTGTGCAGCAGAGTTTCTAGGTTATACGCATTACACAAACATATGTGATATTGTTGCGTTACGTCTACATGACAGGTATAGAACGTAAATATAGATGTTGCTGTGTAAGCGCGTTCCATCTGATTATCTCGTGTAACTTTAATTATATAATTCTCTTCCATTTATTTCTACTTCGACCAGAGTAGAAAGATGACGGATGAGCGAAATTTTCGTTCGCAATATTATGAAAAGGTGACGCTCCAAAATCCACTTGCTCTTTAAATCGAAGCAACAATTATATATCACTGTAGAAGAATTCTCTATCAGATTGTCATATGATTAAAATATCATTGCTTTTAAATGGCAGGTTGGTTTCCGCAGTGTCGAAGAAAAGAAATCTCTGGAGATATTGTTGAAGGAGCGCCCGCTTGACAAGACAAAGCTAAAGCAGTTTTGTTTAAGATTCACTGTACCTGCTATGTACAGAAACTTCTTGTGGAAAGTCTTACTCGACGTTGTACCAGTTTACTCGGAGAGCCAGGGATTTATAATGGCTCAGCGCAAGGCGGAATTTCAGGATTTGCAGAGAGCACTGAGGGTCGCAAAGATTATAGACGACTTTACGAAACCGCATCTAATATTTCTAGCAATGTGGTTGTTACGTAAAAGAAGAGCAAAAGTTGATATGGCTGCTCAATTGGAATCGCCGTTATACAGGTTCACGTTACAGTATTCAATATTAGGTATTTCAAACTTAAACTGAACATTTTTATTTTAAGTTCTAATTGAAATCTAAAATTTTTCTTAATAATGTTCTTCGTCTTGATTTTGAAGGATGCCTTGGCTCTATAAATTCATAGACTCATTTTGTATTCATTTTGTATGAAGAACTCAAAAAATATTATATTATAATAGACTTTTATCTATTCCAGAGCCATGAGCAAAATGGCCGAGACACTGTGGTACGTGATTGATGTTGAATCAGAAGAAGAGAAACTAGTGGATATGTATTGGATATTGTCAGGACTTTTTGTACAAGTTGAGAAGCTACAGAAAGAAGTAGGAAAATTGCAAGACTGTACATATGCATTGTTGGAAAAAGAAGACGTAGAATTATACAAGCATCTTGTTAAAATTGATGCACTTTATAATCTTCCATATGATATTTGGTTTTATTCGTGTTTTGCTGGCATAATATGCAATGGATCTATTGCTAAGTACGTATGTTCATTACATATATTTTATTTTATCATAAAGACTGAAATTATAATGTAATTTTATTAATTAACTTTGATACTGGCAAGACTATATCTTTTTAAGATTATTAGAATACTTAATTATTTATTGTAGGATATGGGATAAAATAACGGTTGGTGCATATCGAATTTTAATATTCGTTGCCGTCGTTACGTTAACTACTTTGAGGCGACTATTATTAAGATGCGAAAGCATAGATCATGTATTAGATACTATCAATAATGTAAGACTACTAATTAAATTATAATGCAATAATGTGATGGGCACATTTTTCAGATTTTTACATTTCGTTCTAGATAACAGAAGAAACATCAGAGGTGATAGTCAATAAAGCAATTGAATCAATACAACAAAGTGGAACAACTCAACAAGTTGACATGTATTTCACAAAGCATAGTTAATGTTTTACACATAAAAATACATTATATATTGTGCGATGAAGTTATTATCGATAAAATTAAAATCCCTAATTTTCTCAAACTTGCCTCATTTAAATGCTATACAAAACAGAAGCTGATTTTTATCATCACATATATATTCTGTAACTTTAATATTTGGATATTATATCTCTGTGAAATTAGCTTTGGAACTATAATAAATTAAGTTTTCAATTTAAAAAAATGTATCTTTCGTTTATAGTTTCAACCATTGAAAAATATAATATTTGGAAATGTTCTGAAAAAAAGATAACTTGATTTTTAAATAATAAATCATTAATATATCTTGATTTAAAATCATTTGTAAATTACAAAAATTATCCTCGTCTTTTCTGCCTACGTAAATTCGTAGTTTTCTATTGTTTAGTTTCTCAGATATGAGACTGTTATCAATAATAATATAAGCCACAAAACAAACGAATCAGTGGAAAAGTACAGTGTAGCGAAAGACATGTATTGACGGTATCCTTTGACTCGTTGCCCGAGATTGAGATAAATAAAATTTGAACTAGGCACACAGAATTTAATTGTTTGTCAGTCTGACTAGTCGTCGAGATAAGTTCGCTTGTGATTGATTTGATTAGTGACTGCTGAGAATATCTATACTGACTGAATTACAATCTGTAAGAATATATTTTTAGAATTTATTTTTTTAAGTTTTTGCTATTATTATTTTAAGGATTCAAATATTAATTGGAGATTTTTTTAAAAGAAAAACGGTTTAATTAAAATCTCCTATGAAAAAGTAGATAAATAAATAATTCGATATATCAAAATTTTAAAGATATTTTAATTGCAAAATGACATGTAATATTTATATAATGTACGTAACACAATTATATATTGTACGTAAATTAATTTTAATCTTTCGTTGTCATACCTTTGTAAAGTTTTACGATTATCACTGAGTCAAATTAGCCAATTAGTGCAAATTGGTGCTGCCATTCTAAAACTATCCATCTGATATGAACAACAAAATATTGAATATACTTTGAATATTATTATAGAATGTATTTTATTAATGATAACGTTTCGAAACAAATAACAATATGTTAAAAAAAAATCTTGAAGATGCACACGTAAAAAAAGTAACATAACAAATTTATAACGTGTGTTCTTCATTTTATAATCTTTTTAGTTAAAATTTTAGAGTACTCCTAAAATGTAGCACTTTCAGATAAAAATCTTTACTAAAAATATGTGCGTATTTTCAAACATTTTTTTTTATATGTAAAGAAGGTATTACTTTCTCTTTATAGCTGCCATGCATGACGCGTTTTTTTAATATTATAATCAACAGAAAAAGAAATAATTACTGATAAAACAATATACAATTTTGTACGCGACCACAGCTGTCTTATCTAAATTATTAATTTCGAATGAATAACGAAATTAATAATTCAGATAAGACAGCTGTGGCACAAACTTTCACTTCATTATAATTGGCAGAACAGCAGCTGTTGCAAAGAGAGATTGTATATATTCAATTTAAAGTGGACTACTTAGCTCACGGTCCAAAAAGTTCTAATATTAACCCTCATTTACTGTATTGAGGTATGGCATACTTAGAACGTATGAAAATCGCGCAGCATTTATAGAAACCGGGAAGTGAGGGGACTAGATATAGGAGGGGAAAAAAGTTAGTGTTCAACGTATCTTTTCCCCTACCTAACGTCGTCAGTTTACATAAAGAAGCGATACTGATCGTATTTTTTTTCAAAAAATCGTGCAATTTAAGGTTTAGAACTTGTCCAGATAAATATACTTACATGGGAATCTATTGACATATTTTTTTTATTAAAATATACATCTTCAACTATTCATTCCTTTAGTTCTTTTATTTTTATTTTGTATTTTAAGTATTGTAGGCATATTTGTGTGAAACTATTTGTGTGAGTGATCACGCTTGTCTCGAGTGTTCTCGTCCTGACTTGTTCGTGCGGGACAGCATGGGTAATGGAAAGTTCTGGCAATCGGAAGTAACGGTTTTTCGGGATCCGTTGATTGGTCGCGTATGATCTTACGATCGCGCATAATTGGTTATCGAGAGATACCCTCCCCCCCCGCAGGGAGGGGAGTGTGCCGGGAGCGCGAGCATTCGTGACGAGCAGTGAGAATTGAGATTGCGAGTAGATTGAGTGACGACTACAGATTTCATCCTGGACGACGACTACAGATTTCATCCTGGACGACGACTACAGATTTCATCCTGGACGACGACTACAGATTTCATCAGAAGTGGGATTCCGGACGATACGGTGCGACCGGCCCGTGACATATTCTCCCGTGATTCGGTGCGATCGGATCGCGAGATATCCTTCCATGCGAAAGAGTTTTCGCGACGGGTTGGTTCGACCGTCGGCACGAGGCAATTCTTCTCGTTGCTGCGGGCGCGAGTAAGTCGTAAACGTGTACTTGGCGGAAAATGGTGAGTGCGACGTAATCTGTGTGTGAGTTACGTGCAAGTCTTCTTTGCTGCGAGTAAAGATACCGACGGTTCTGTGTGACCGCCGCCATTATCGTTGTGTGATTGTGCCGTGCGTGCCGAGTCGTCATGGATACATTGGAGGGAAATGATTTTACGGTGGCTGAATTGAAGGATGCTCTTCGCGAAAGGAAACTGCCCAGCGGAGGAGCGAAAGCGGAATTGATTCAGCGATTGGGTGTCGTTCCAGACATTTGGATGATCTTAGGCGAAAGACGAAGTCGAGCGCCGCATGTAGGGGGTGCGTCGGCGTCGACGGCCGAGCCGGAAACGGTGGAGGGGGCCGTGAATCCGAGAAGTGACGAGATGACTGCGCATGAAAGACCGGCAACGTCGTTGCGACTGGAAGAATGTGATGAGATTTCACAACGCGAGTTAAGGTTAATACAACGAGAGAGAGAACTGATAGAGAGAGAGAGGCAGTTGCTGCGACAAGAACACGAAATGATGCGAAGCGTTTCGCCGTCAAGTAACACTGCCTCCTCGGCTGGTAATGTCCGTGTTCTCAAGGATCTTTTGCCAGAGTTTAGTGCGACCGATAACACATTCTGGAAGTGGAAGCAGCAGCTGGAATTGTTGAGAAATTCTTACCAGTTAGACGATAATTCAACGAGAGTATTAATAAGCTCGAGGTTAAAAGGGCGCGCGCTTTCGTGATTCCATTCGAAGGCGGAACACTTGTTGTTGAGCGTCGAGGATCTGTTGCGGGAAATGACGCAGATGTTTGATTCGCGCCCCGCGAAGTTGTCGCTGCGCAGGGAGTTTGAGGCCCGCGCATGGAAAGCGGACGAGCAGTTTTGCGATTACTACCACGAAAAATTAATTCTTGCCAATCGAGTACCGATCGATGAGGATGAGCTTCTCGATTATTTGATTGAGGGCATTGCTGATATGCGCCTGCAAAATCAAGCACGCATTATGAATTTCCAATCGAAATCTGAGCTGTTGAGGGCTTTCGAGAAGATTAGTCTCGAAACCAAGCGGTCCGGCGACCCGAAGCTGAAAAAAGATGGCCTGAAATTATCTGGTGCCAAGGCGGAGACATCTACGAAAGGGAAGACGATCAAGTGTTACCGGTGTCAGGAGACAGGACACGTCGCTACGCACTGTGGGCGTCCAGCAGCGACCACGTCGGTGGGGAAGAGAACCTGCTTCGTCTGTGGTTCTTCAGAGCATCTAGCGAGAGACTGTTCGGAGCGTAAACAACTCGCTTCGTCGACGGAGACTGGAGGGGGATCTGCGCGGACTGCATCAACGAACGTGATAGCCGTCGAACAACATGTAGAGCTTCCGAAACCGTATGTGGTGGCATTGAGGGTCAACCCTGGTGGAAGAATCGGTAACACAGAAACATTCGAAATAGATGCAATTATTGACTCGGGTTCGCCTATCAGCCTTATACGTGACAGCGTTGTCAAAAAGGAATATTGTAGTCCGGTGACGGAGGACACTAGTAAATTCTACGGAATAAATAATTCGCGTCTCGAAGTATTAAATATTTTTGATGGCGATATTGATGTAAAAGGCGTGCGTATAAAAATAAAATTTTATGTTGTACCCGATCCTACGATGACGTTCAGAATGCTCTTGGGTAGAGACTTTTTAACTTGTCCACTAATACGTGTTACCTTAGGAGACACAATAGAGATCGAAGACGTGCGCGAGACAAACGAAGAACAAATATTTAGTATCACCGTTAGCGAAAGTTCCGATAACGTGCGAGATGAGTTACGCGTAAATCCCGAGATTGGTCAAGATACAATTAACAAAGCGCGTGAGATTTATAAGTCAAGTTACCTTCGAAATTTCCAAGCGGGAGAACGCGAATTTGGTTTTGAAATGGATATTGTTTTAAAGCACGATCAGCCCATAAGTGCGCGTCCACGTAGATTGTCTTTCGCGGATAAAGAGGCACTACGGAAAATTCTAGACGAGCTATTAGAGAAAAAAATTATTCGTTCGAGTAATTCGCCATACGCGAGTCCAATTGTACTAGTGCGAAAGAAAACAGGTGAGCTCCGGCTTTGTGTTGATTTTCGCGAGTTGAATAAAATAACGATACGAGATAATTTCCCTACTGAGCTCATAGACGACAATATTGATCAATTGAAGAATAAAAAATATTTTTCTGTGTTGGATCTGAAGGACGGATTCCATCACGTTAAAATGAGTGAAGCGTCGGTTAAGTATACGTCATTTGTGACCCCGCTGGGACAATACGAGTATTTGCGAATGCCCTTCGGACTGACAAATGCACCACGCGTATTCCAGCGTTTTGTGCATGCCGTGTTTAACCCACTGATAAGAGAACATAAATTATTGTTATATCTTGATGATATTTTGGTTGCTACAGAGAGCATTCATGAGCATCTAGCAATTTTATCGGAGTTATTTGAACTGGCCGGTAAGAACCAGCTACAATTTCGATTGGATAAGTGTCATTTTATTCAGACTGAGATTAAATATCTAGGATATTGTATCAATCAACACGGGATACGACCGAGTGACGAAAATATAGAGTCCGTGTTAAGTTATCCGGTTCCGAGGAACGTGAAAGAGATTCATCGTTTTGTCGGGCTCGCGAGCTATTTTAGGAGATTTGTTCCTAAATTTTCGTTGTTAGCGAAACCTTTATATGATTTAATAAAAAAGAACGCCATATTTATTTTCGGCGTGGCGGAGCGCGAGGCATTTGAGACACTGAAGTGTTGTTTGGCTAGTAGACCGGTATTAGCAATTTATTCACCGCACGCTGAAACGGAACTGCACTGTGATGCGAGTGCAAGCGGGTTTGGCGGAATTTTGCTTCAGAAACAAAGCGATAACGTGTGGAAACCCATTTCTTATTGGAGTCAGCGTACTACTGTTACGGAGGCTAAGTATCACAGCTATGAGCTCGAGTGCCTCGCGGTGGTTTATGCGCTAAAAAGGTTTCATATTTACCTTGCTGGGCAGGAATTCAGAATCATTACGGACTGTGATAGTTTCCGTCTTACATTGAATAAAAAAGATGTAAACCCACGAATATCGCGTTGGGCGTTGTTTCTGCAAAACTATAACTATGTAATCGTACATCGACCAGGGAAACGAATGGCCCATGTTGACGCGCTTAGTCGATGTCATAGCGTATTAGTACTCGAAGGTAGTACGTTTGAGCGAACCCTGTCGATTTGTCAGGATCGGGATACCGAGATTCTCAAACTTCGTAAAAAGCTCGAAGAAACCGAATTAAAACAATACGAATTACGTGACGGTCTTGTTTATAGAAAAGATAAAAACCATAAGTTGTTATTTTATGTGCCGCGGTCGATGGAAGCTAATGTAATCCGAACATGCCATGACGATATCGGACACGTCGGTGTCGATAAGGTTATTAATTATATTACGAAAGTTTATTGGTTTCCGAATATGCGTGAACGAGTGAAGGAGTACATTGCAAATTGTCTTCGATGTATAGAGTTCTCACCTTCGAGCGGTAAAACGGAAGGGTTTTTGCATAATATCCCAAAGGATAAATTACCGTTTATGACTGTACACGTAGATCATTTCGGTCCGTTGGAGAAAACAGGAAAGGGATATCGACACATACTTGTTATTGTCGATGCATTCACTAAATTTATAAGAGTCTATCCATGTAAATCGACTACGACAGATGAAGCAATAAAATGTCTGCGAGATTATTTTCGCTCATATAGTAAACCAGGGCGTCTGGTTTCGGATAGAGGTACATGTTTCACATCCGATACATTTAAAGAGTTTTTAAAGGATGAAGACGTCCGACATGTTTTGGTTGCCGTACACACGCCGCGAGCTAATGGCCAAGTGGAGCGCTTTAATAGAATTCTAGCGCCAATGATAGCAAAAATTAGCGAAACTCCCTCCACGTGGGATCGTGTTTTGAGTGAAGTCGAGTATTCTTTGAATAATACTGTTTGTCGATCCACCGGTGAAACTCCTTCGCGATTAATGTTTGGAGTTGACCAAAAGGGAAAGCCTAATGATGTTTTGCGTAAAATGTTCGAGTCGGATGTGGACCGTGATCTCATAGAAATTCGGGAACAAGCGTCTGTTAATATTGAAAAATCGCAATCGAAAAATGAACAACGGTATAATTTGCGGAGAAAGGCTGCGCGTTTGTATGAGGTAGGTGATTACGTTGAAATTCGTAATGTAGAGGCCACTCCTGGCGTTAATAAAAAGCTGTTACCGAAGTTTAAAGGGCCTTATGTAATAAAGACTGTTCTCGATTGCGATCGATGTGTAATTACTGATGTAGAAGGGTTCCAGTTGACCCAACGACCGTATACTGGTGTCGTAGCGCCGGATCAGATGCGACCCTACATCCATTAATAATTTATAGCGTTTGCGTATTTCTTGCGTTAACTGATGATTCCTTGTGTTGGTTGTGTTAGTTTTAAGCCTAGTGGTAAGTTTTGTGAAACTGTTGTTTTGTGCACTTGTTTGACCGGGACGGTCAATAAGTCAGAATGGCCGAACTGTAGGCATATTTGTGTGAAACTATTTGTGTGAGTGATCACGCTTGTCTCGAGTGTTCTCGTCCTGACTTGTTCGTGCGGGACAGCATGGGTAATGGAAAGTTCTGGCAATCGGAAGTAACGGTTTTTCGGGATCCGTTGATTGGTCGCGTATGATCTTACGATCGCGCATAATTGGTTATCGAGAGATACCCTCCCCCCCCCGCAGGGAGGGGAGTGTGCCGGGAGCGCGAGCATTCGTGACGAGCAGTGAGAATTGAGATTGCGAGTAGATTGAGTGACGACTACAGATTTCATCCTGGACGACGACTACAGTATGATTAATAATTTTTTTAAATAAAAGTGTCTTTTGTAATTTCTTTGAAAAATTCTCTTTCGTTCGTTGTTAAATATTTTTTTGCAATTTACAATTTTCGGCAACTTTATTTATACGGGGCTCTTCTTTAGATCTCCCTCCAGAATAAAGATTTTACACAGTTACTTTAATCAAATGTATTTTATTGAAAATTAGAGAACCTTGAACATCAACTGTATCCCCAGCCGTGGTAACGACGGAAGTGAAAATACGTGCAGTGAGAGTTTAACAAGGAAGTAATTTACGCGATGAAATCATTAATGAGAGTGGTATTGCAAAATATCAAAAGATCATCAAAAACCTTACTATTGCCTCAGTTTCAGGTAATATAATTAATTAGTACTAACTTTGTGATTTTATCACAATTGTATACATAAATTAGATTGCTATATTAAATTATATGTTTTTAAAGCAATCTGTATCCAATTTATTTGTATATAATTACTTTCTTATTATTAAAATACTTGAAAAGGAATACTTAAAAGTATTTTAAATACTGTCAGAATTTTAACTTAAATGTTTTTTCTTTTTTAGCACATTCAATGCCACAGAACACTTACATCTCAACAAGTGTTTGATCGTGAATCTAAATATGGTGCTCACAATTATCATCCACTTCCCGTGGCTCTGTGCAAAGGTCAGGGTGTCTTTATGTGGGACGTCGAGGGAAAACGATACTTTGATTTTTTAAGCGCTTATTCGGCAGTTAATCAAGGCCATTGCCATCCCAGAATCTACAAAGCGATGATCGACCAAGCGAAGACTTTAACTCTGACATCCAGAGCATTTTATTCAGATCTTTTAGGTGAATTCGAAGAATATATTACGAAACTTTTCAGGTACAAAGTATTGATTTCGATTCTCAAACTCATGTCGATAAGATAAACAATGACGTAACGAGATTTAAAATCTAAAGTATAAGAGACCAGTGAAAATAAACGATAAGTTTATATATTATACGGTGTGTTATTTCGAAAATCTAAATAATATAAATTATTTTGGAATCCTGATATTAAAATTAACAACAAGATATTGAGAATACGGCGCGGTACTTGGGGCGTAATTTTATTATTGTTTTATATTAATTATTTTAATTTAATAAATTACAGTTTCTTTGGATGGTTTTGGCTATTCTCGGCGATGATGTAGATAGTCAAGAAGATCGTCTTACGCTTAAACAGAGATAGATCTCTGGTCAAGTATTGTATAACATATCACTTCGCAGCATAAATTCGTTAAATTGTGAAATTGGTTAAATTAATCTGGCCTTCGATTGCCATAAGCGTAAGACCAGCTTGAATTCCAATACAATTAATAAAATCCGCAGTCATAATGTATAAAAATCAGAAATTTGGAAAAATCAGAAATATAAAACTGGAACAAATCGCACAAACATCAGAGAAACAATTGTTTCATCAATCTCGTGACAATTGAAGACCAGATCAAATTAATCAATTTCGCAATTTAACGAATTCATTGCTGCGAAGTGATGTATAGAATGCCAGGCATCACCGTTTGAGCGTAAGACGGGTTTCTTTATTATTTACATTTCTACATCATCGCTTTTGGCCTAAGATGTGGCCAAAATGTCAGAAGAAACTGTAATGTTTATTAAATTAATATAATTAAAATAATATAAGATAATTGTACCAAGTATCGCGCCGTACTCTCTCGTATTGCCTAAGTACATTATTGTTAATTTAAAAAATCTAGTTAGTCTAATATTTAACATACCAGAAGTTATACCAGAAAATTAGATCCTAAAAGCAGAGATTAAAAAATTATAAATAAATAATATAATACTAAACAATAATAATTAATAATATACAATAAATTTAAAATATGAAAGACTCTTCAAATAAATTATGATTAGATACGTTGATGTAAAGGAATTGCCAAATGTGAGCCGACACCAGTTGTTCGTGTGTAGTCCAAAATATATATTAAAAAAATTATATATAGCAATGGATTACTGCATGTTTGTAAAGCAAAGAATTTATTTGAAAATACATACTAAGATATATCTACTTGTTTGTTTTGATTTCTTCGCTCAAATTTGGTATCATTGCTCTTTCATCGTACAATTATGAAAGTACAATTATGGAAATACAATTATGGAAATCGGACACCTCCCTCTCCCAGGGAGAGAGGTGGGGTGAAAGTCGCTTCGCGTGAAAACTCGAAACCCATGTGCAACAGTACAATTATGGATGTCGGGC